CTCTTGATTCTGTGGGATTATCAGTCTCTTAAATTCCAACTCCCTAGGACAGCTGTGGAACATTTGCTAAAGGCTATTGGGGTAAAGTGGCAAAGAAAAAAGTATATGCAATATTTGCAACATACTTATACTAAAAATGGTTTGCTATCTGATATTCACATTTGACTGGCATACTATGTTCTATCTGGCACCCCCACTCGGGGGGCACCTGCATTTTGGGAGATGGAGGCTGAGGGTAGAAGTTTGCTTCTTTTCGTTCTCATCTAGACTGGATCCAGGGTTCAGGAAACAGGTTTGTGTATTTTCTTTTTCTGTAAGCATGCCCATTTTATTTTTAAGTTTAGAGAATGGGCATCTTGGAAAGAAAACTATCCTAGGACAATTTTCTTCAAAATATTCAAAATAAATACTTAACAGAAAAACAATAAATAGGATCTGCCCATTTTATGAAAGGTCAAATTTTCTAAACTTTATAGAAATTAGAGAGCAGACCAATGAATCCTAAAGTGAGGAGAGACCAGCTGCTCAACTGATCACAGTGATAGACGTCCTTACACATCACCTTTCCCAGAGAGGTCACGAAGGGCGTTATCAGTCGGAGTTATATTTTTCTTCTGTCCTCAAAATTTCATGACAAAGGAGAGCAAATAGAGTCAAAGTTCTGATTGCCTTTTCCCATATCACTATAAGCCTTTAAAAAATTGTCCCTTTGAACTTTGCATTTCTTAATTTTGGAATTGCATTTAAAGTCCCTCTGTATTTAAGGAAATCATCTACGAATCAAACCAACTTTGATGACACAGGTCAGACTCTCTGTGATTTCTTGTCACAGAGCAGGTAAGGATCTGTATTAGTTCATTTCTGGGTGATTTATGAAGAAAACAAATTTTATTGCTTACAGTTTCTGAGGCCAGGAAATCCAAAGTCCAAGGAACACATCTGATGGTGGCGACAGTGGCCCAGGGGTCTCATGTTGCAGGATGGTGGAAGCAGAGAGAGAGAAACAGCTCCTCATGCACTCTCCTTTTAACGCCCTCGAAACCA